TTCTATTTTTCACTTATCCCTACCGCAAACAAGGAACCTGAAACCCAAACTCTCATTCCGCCACAGACCACTCTCAACTATCTTCAGTTCCCCCAAAATATGGAAGAGTATTAAAACACAACGTATGGAGAGAAATTCAGGATTGAATTTGTGACGGTCCCAATTCTTTGAACATTCCTCTCCATTTCGCTACCGCGTATCAATCTTCTCCGATCCATTTCACCATAGAAGGTCTCTGCGAAATTCATCTTCTTTACCTCATCTCTTCGCGGATCCGTCTTCAAATCTATCAACACACTTCGTCTCGCTCTCTTCGTTTCACTCTCTTCATTTCTGTTTTCATTTCTCCCTTATCTCTCCATCGATTCAACCAAACTAGTCGAACAAAAACAAACATTAAACACTAATGGAATGAATCAAGAGATTGATGAGTGTTACCTACCGGAGATAGCCTGGTGCCACATCGATTGCGATAGCAACGAGAAATCCAAAAATATGTTCAAGTATATGCTTTGTATTCAATTCATCCTCTTATTCGACTCCTTCTATCTTCTTTTTCATGCGATTCCATGTGTTTATGTTGTCTTCGATGTGACTCCGTGAATGATGTTGTTGTGATGTTCTATGTTGTACGACTGTTATAGATGTGTTGAGGAAGAAGTTGAAGCAATGGAGTCGCTGATGTAGTGTGGTTTCTGTGATGATGAAGTTGTTGATATTAATACAGAGGAGTGAGGATGTAGATATGTTGATCGTTGTTGTTGTCGTTGCGATTGTGATGAATTTAATGAGAAGCAAATTTGGTGAAGCAGAAGAGGGTGTTGCGATTTTTGATGAAGATTAAAGGTGTATGAAGATAACGAATCAAGGAAGGTTAAAGATGCAGAGCAATTAAGGGGAGACAACAGAGAGAAGTTTGAAGGAGGCTTTCTGTGAACTGTGATGAATGATGAAGATGAAGGTGAGAGAAGGAAAGAAAGTTTCTGTGATGGAAATTCCTCTGCAGAATCATGAAGCTCAGTTTCTCATCTCACAACCACCACCAATTTCTCAGTTTCGTCAATTTTCAGTTTTCATACCTTCGAAATGGAGAATCTTAACTTAGCCCTTGTTTCTTCCCCTAAACCTCTGCTTCTGGGACATTCCTCCTCAAAAAACGTCTTCACAAGAAGAAAGCCTTTCGCTTTTGGGACTTTTCGCGTTTCTGCTAACTCTTCATCCTCTCATGTCACCAGGGCTGCTTCTAAATCTCACCAAAATCTAAAATCTGGTAATCTTATGAATATGATTTTTGCTTACCAGAAATAGGGTTATTAGGTTATGATGTACTTGAATGAAATGTATGTAATTATATTGAAATTGAAGTTGAATCGACATAGTTATAATGAAAATTTCCATGCAAATTGAATGTATTTCAATGTTTTGCACTCATGTCTGAAGAGGCATTCATAAGTAATACATGCTCGGAATTCAGTGCAGGGGAAGGTCACTGTGCATACTTTTGCTAGCATTTCTTCTTCAAATAGTCAGGAAACAACATCAGTGAGAAGGCTTATGAGGTAACTCTATCTATCTATCTGTTGATGTGTTTATCTGAATTTCATGTGTTTGATAGTGCGCATCGATGATTGTTATATATCTTCAATGTAACTTCTTTGATTTCCTCAGGATGGAAGAACAATGGTGGAGAGTAAGACAGCAGACCTGAGATCTCAAATCAGGCGAAAAGGTGACACAAACCAAGCTTCAAGTATAAGGAATCCATGGCAGCAATCAGATCAGACACAGTCTCATTCTAATCATGAAACACAACTTAAGCAATCCCGAGACGTAAGGTGCCAACTGTGTAATCATGTATAATGGTTGCCAACTGTGTAACATTGCATACTGATTTCCAGTCCCTGGGTTAAAACAGCGTCATAAATCACACATGAGTAATTACTAGTCGCATTGTTTTCTTCTCAGATTGACATTATAGGCTACAATTAATTTATACCTTTTTTTTATCATATAACACATTGTGTTTGTAATATTTGTTCTTTTAAAGTTGTCATAAATGAGCTTCTGTGCCTGTATGAATTAACCAAATGTTCTTAATGACCTTGTTTTTTTTTGGATAGAAAAATCAGTCTTATCGGTGGATGCTTTAGAGAAAATGATGGAGGACCCAACAGTGCAGAAGATGGTTTATCCGTAATATTAGCTCCTTTTATCTTTTAATAATGATTATTTTTCATTTCTAGTGAGCACAGATAAGTTTTAAACTTCAAGTAAATCCTATTTTTTGGATATATAAAAAAAGGTTACATAAATTGCTTAAGCGTGTTGTTCTGTCTAATCTTAGAAATGCGTATGACAGTAGTACCAAGTATCAACAGTACCTATAATACTCTACATTGGACTTAGAAGTAGTTCCATTCTGTATTTTTATATTGAACTACTTTGGAAGTTGTGACGTGTCTTAAGATCTACCAGAGCCTTTTATTATTTATTTCCCACATTCTATTGAAAGTTTTTGCATCCAAAGTTTTCCGCAAAAACCAGTGCTTCTGTTTAAATTCTTCCCTTTCCAATTAACCTCATTTATCTCCAAAAGACTGTGTATTAGGTTTCCTACTGCTCTTTGAATTGCTTACAATTGAGTGGAACTTGTTGGTTCTCCCCTCTATTCCTATATTCTCAAAATGAACGAACAGATTTCCGATGCGTTTTACGTCACGGCCCCTTGATAAAAATTTATATGTTTGCATGCTTGTTTAATGTTTATATTATTCAATTTGTTTTCCTTTTTATTCAAAAGAAGGCTCATAATTTGTGGGCACTGTTGCAGCGATTTACCTGAGGAGATGAGGAAGCCTTTTACCTTCAAATGTAATTCTCTTAACAGTTTTCTTGCTTCTGGTTCTATGCAATGTCAATCAATGTTATTAAGATTGATTATAATGTGGGCACCATGATTTTCTTAGTTTAGTGCCTTCATTGAAATAACTAACACAAAACCACATTTGAGCATACTCATTGTTACTTACATATACAATACTTCCTATATACGACACATTTATATGGGTGTCTTTTCATTCATTATTACTAGTACCATGTATTATAATGGAAGCACTATTTATGTTGGTTAAATTAAGTCTACTGATCAAAACTCAAAATCATGTTTGTCACTTTCAACTGCTAGATGATAATTTCTACATGACATGTTAATAAATTTGGCCGATGGATAGTTGATGTACTATTGCTGCTTTTGGCAGGGATGCTGCAGAATCCTGAGTACCGTCAACGACTTGAAGAAATGTTGTAAGTTCTTTTTATTGTACTAGTATCTTCCAAGCCTTTTTTTGTCCACCGATATTTTCTTGCTCCATGTATCTAGGTGATTTTATTTGTAAACATAAAGGTTTGTTTGCTTTTAAGGAACATTTTATGTATTCACTCTTAATTACAAAAATGTTGTCTTGTCTTACCTCTGTTTTCTATTTTCAAAGTTTCTTATAGGAAGCAATGAAAACAATAGAATTTTCACTGTTTCATATGCAAACCTTTGAAAACACAAAATTAAGTGAAAAGGTGGTGCTTTGGTTTGGTAAATGAAATAAAATAAAAAGGCCCTAAGCTTTTGGTGAAGTGCTTACTTACATTGCTTTGTCTGACGATTATACAAAAACTAGTTTTCTGGTGAATGGAAACATTCACTAAGGAAAGTTAGTTTTCCTCTTTCTGAAGTCATCATTTCTTTCATTTGTCAGTGAAGTACAAGTGGCTATTAGCCCCCCATTCCGTTAAATCTATTAGTTAAGTCTGAGTAGTGTTGTCGATGGCGGAGAGCCAAATCCCGCCATATCGGCCGCTCTGCGGCGCCATTGTAGCGGATTATGGCAAAAAAACCTGCAATATCGGCCGCTACTTACCATTACGTCGAGCCTAAAAACCCCTATGTATATCCATCATAGCGCCCATGGCGCTGCTATTTGTTAACACTGAATCTGACTCCCTATTCTTTACCTAACAGAACCTAACATTTGGAATTAGGATAAATGCCAGTCCTGGAGGAAATTAAATGACCATTCTTCTGCTTTTGTACAATAACCTTTTGTTTGAGTTTACTTATGACTGGATTCATGATCACTACGTTGATTTTAGACCTAAAGTTGCAGAGAAATGTAAATCTTATTTGTTATTTCTCACTAAAGTGTCATTCTATGTGCTGCAGTTATATAAATCAATGTATTTTCTAGTAATATATTGGTAAACTGTATTCTCTGGCCACTAGGGATTCACACATCCTTTCTTTTTCTCCTATATATTTGGTTTCAGAAACAACATGGTTGGAGGCACTGAATGGGACAGTCGAATGATGGACACCTTAAAGAATTTCGACCTTAATAGTCCTGCTGTTAAACAACAATTTGGTATGTCTCACATTTTACAAGAGATGTCTTTTTTGAGAGATGGATCAATTCTTTAATTCTTTCTACATTCTCCTTTCCTGTTTTCTAACATTTTATATTATCACTTTCATCAGATCAAATTGGGCTTTCTCCCGAAGAAGTCATTTCAAAGATTATGGCCAATCCTGATGTTGCCATGGCATTTCAAAATCCTAGAGTTCAAGCAGCTATCATGGATGTAAGTTCTACTTTAAGTACCACTTCATTAATATTTCATATCAAATCTCTGAGTGCTTCTTGTTTTGGTTGCAGTGTTCACAGAATCCAATGAGTATTGCTAAATATCAAAATGATAAGGAGGTATTATGATACCTTCAATTTGTCTTTCTTGGAAGCATTTTTAGCCTCTTGTACATTGAATTTTACATTTCCGTCTTTCTCTTTACGTTTCAGGTCATGGATGTCTTCTATAAAATATCTGAACTCTTCCCTGGAGTTTCAGGCCCCCCTTGATTTCAATTTGTTTGTTGGTCAAGATAAAATATTTGCCAGGTTATTCACGCCTTTCCGGATGACTGATGAGGATTTGTATTAGCTAGCTGTGTCTCACCATAAGGAGTTCAACTGCTCAGATCCAGTAGAGGCATCATAGTCATCACCAGCTTCGTTGTCACAGTCCATATCAAAATCAAATAAAGAGAAGCCACCACCCAGTGATTCCTTCTCAAATTGTCTTAACAGAAGCTCTCTCGGAGACTCGGGCTCGTTTCCAGAATTTGAGCCCGCTGAACTATGGTCTATGTCTAGCATGCTTAAAAATTCATTTGCAACCGATTCTGTAACATCGTCTAAGCTATCTGTCTTTCTCATCTTATATTCAGTTCTGAATTCCAATTTTTTTGGAGATTCTAGAGCCACCGTCTCCAAATCTGAGACACTATTTATAACAGCTTCTAATTCTTGCAGCAGTTCATTTGTGAATAAATCATCATCTTCGTAAGCAGATTCATCGGCCACCGTGTGATCCTTACAACCGTCATTTGCCTCATGAAGAGAATCATGTATAAAACTATCTTCGGAAGAAACTTGTAAACCTGCAGTATCTAGGATAAGAGAACTATCAACTGTAGAAGCATCTTCAGAAGCCTCTGTGAATGATTCCTCTACTTTAACGGGTTCAATTGGTGAGATTTCTATACCCTTATCAACGACAGAAAAATCCTTATCTTGACAGTCTTCGGGGTTTTGTTTTTCAGAATCAAGTAAAAGATAGCCATCTTGTTTATCTGTCTCTAGGTTTTCATGAAATACATCGAGTTCAGGTGTGTCAAGCACTGGAGATGTATTTCCATCGTTATCTACATGCACTTCCTGCATTTCTTTTTCAATATCAGATGAAGCACACGCATCTGGTTTAATTAGCTCAATATTTTCTTTTGACAAATCAGGATCAGGTTTGTTGTCCACCGATCTGCTTTCTTTTTCCTCGTCAAATTTCTTATATAAGACGCCTATTGAGCTGGCTAGTGCAGACTTAGAAGATGGCAACACCTCATGAAGATCCTTTACCGACTCTACAGCTTGAGACGAGTACAGTCTGCTAAGGTTTTTACCTTGAGAAGCGTCTACGGGTAAAGCACCGTGAAAACTTCCAGCACGCCTCACACTGCTGCTTCCATCATACTGTCTCTGTTTAACATCTGGTTTCGTCAATGGAAGACTACCACTCTGCCTCGAAGTCAATACATTAGGAGCATTATGACCATCTTTGGTCGTGCTGGCGTTATCACCAACAACCATATACCCAAAACTGACATTCATCACAGCACCCTTAGCCTTTCCTGATAACCTGAAACTAGTAGTCCACTTACCCGAGCTCTTCTCCTCCTCAAGCTCCTCCAGAGTAAGAGGAAGCAACCTCGTGAGATCAACTCGGTGCTTCCCCAAATCAAGCTCCGGTGCACTGAGAAGAGAAGCATATAGCAAAAAGTGCTTCGCTTCATACTTTGCAGAATGGTGAGGTCCACTCCTACTGCCGTAAACCGAGCAAGTATAAGTCAACTTCTCATCATATTCAGCTACAGACTGAATCACTTTAGCTGATCGAGTCACCAAAACCCCGTCCCTCCTCTTCCAAAACACAGAAAAACTCGAACCATCAAAAGTAGAAGGCAACCCTTAATGCAAATGCAGAATTTTAGTGGAAGACAGGTATATTATTTTGACGCATTTAAAGTTAAATTTTATGAGTATTATTTTAAAGATTATTATTTTAATACATTTTTTTAGGGATTGGAATCACCCGCTGATGGTAGACGTTCATCTGAGTCTAGCTACCGTATTGGAGATAATGGAACTTCAGGGGGGACAAATTAGACTTTGCTATGATCGAGATAATTAGATTGTGAACTTTCTCATGTATTCTTGGCATAATGATACTTATTATTATAAGATTAGGAATTGATATATTTTGGGTTTTTTGTACTACTTGACATGATTATGGAACTCGCATTTTACATGATTATGGAACACACATTTTTTTGGATATTATAATGCTTATTTGATGTTAAATATTTTTTGTTGAAATTATTTTTACTATATTACAAAGTGATAGAAAATAAAACAAAAAATAATACTATAAATAAATATATTAAAGAAGAAATAATTTAAAGAAAAAAATAACACAAAAAAAAACTATATTTAAAATTTTTTACATAGATAATAATTTAAATAAAAAAAATATATAATAGAAAAATAAAAAAAAAATCAAGACATAAACAAAAGTCATGGCGACAGTACCGAACCGTCGTAATCAACAATTAAAAATAATCAACAAAAGTCATGACGGTATCGAACCGTCGCCATAAACAATTTAATCAATTTCAAAAGATATTCACGACAGTATCGAACCGTCGCCATCAATAATTAAAAGAAACTCAAAAGATAGTCACGACGGTATCAACCCGTCGTAAACTTGAACGACAGTTTTTGTAACCGTCGCGAAATAGGTTGGGGACACACACTTCTGCGACGGTAAAGCAACCGTCGTGAAAAGCAAATTGCGACGGTTTTAACCGTCGTAATCTACAAAAATACCTGTCGCAAT